CCCCGAGAAGTTCCCACAAAAACCTGCAACTGAAAGCTCATACTTGCTATTTTTTCAGACTGTCAGAAAATTAAATGGAAGTTTCTTTCCTGAGAGGCAAGAACTGTCCCAATGAATCACCAATGTCAGGAGGCCTTCCTCTGAATTAAAATGTCAAAGTACCCCTAAATACTTGAAGAAAACCCAAGATAAAAAACCTGAATTTAAAACAGAAAGCAAGTAATGGTATTCATGTTGTAAAAGGATTAATCACAGGGCTCTTACATATCTAGTTCCCCTATAGAACTGAAAACAATTTTTATTTATAAAAATTGAATTGACACAAAACTTCTCAAGAACATATTTAAGGCATGGCCAAATGGACAGAGGGTTGGACTTGGAGTCAAGAATACCTGGTTTTGAATCCCACCTCAGGAGCTCTGTGTGATCCTGGACAAGTCACTTAGTCTCTGATCCTCAGTTTCCTCATCTATAAAATGGGGATAATAATAGCACTTATGTCATAGGGCTATTGTGAGAATCAAATGAGATGATGGATTTAAAGTGCTTTGCCAACCTAGAAGCACTATATAAATAACAGAAAATATATTATTTAAGAAAAGATAAAGATGGCTGTCAGAGGGGCACAATGTGTCTAAAGTATTGACTTTGTATCTGTTCCCCATAAAAGAGCTAATAATACTCCTGAGAATCTTTAGTCTTCCTCAGAATAGAGACATTTTGGTTCTGCATCTGACTCTTAACATATGCAGAACTCTAAAACTCTACCCTAAAGTGCAGCTTTACATACTTTTTAAGGGCGTTCACAATTTACAAATTATTGGGGGGGGGGAATGGATGGAAAATGTAATATCATTAGCCTTGAAGCAATTCACACTAACCTAAAAAATGCTGTTTAGTTTCATGACAGGCCAGTTCTGCCTCCATGAAAATTTGAACTATACTGATATTCTACATGTGAGACTATTGTCTAATAGTGAATGAATTCAATTAATCTCTGTTAGATCATTTAGCAGCTATTATATATCTAATTATTAATCCAGTAATCTCTTAGGAGATATGATTAGATTCTCGAGCTAGTCACCAAGGCTGACTAGTACCAAGGAAAGCAGGGCACTAAGATAAATACATACTGATTTAAGGAAGTCATGCAATGACTTATAGGTGCCAGTGCCTTTAAAAAATTCAAAGCAGGTGAGTTGTAAAAAGTCATTTTAATTGGTTATCTGTATAATCTAGGCTCCATGGGGGAGAGGGATGTAACAGATTTTTTTTGGAGGCAGGAGGGACACTACAAGGTTAGTTTCAGGATGTGAGCAAAGTTAAGGCTGTTGACATGGAAAATATCCCTTTAAAACTTTTTAGAAATTGTTTACTGTCATGAAGTCATGGAGAAGAAAAAGCCAGTATTTCCTACTTGGAGGTAAGACCCAGTTGCACAATTTATCAAATACTCTGACAAGGACACTGCTTTTAAGGGCATCATATGAAGGAACTTTAGAAGTTATCTAAACCGATCCCTTCATTTTACAGATGAAGATACTGAGGCCCACAGAGGTGAAATGACCTGCCTGAGGTCACATGGGCACAAAGGACAAAGGCAGACCCCTGCTTCCAAGCCTAGGGCTCTTTCCTTTGCACCTCTGTCCTCACTTGTTTCAGAGCCCAATCTAACTTCAATACTTGGCTTCTAGCTGAAAGCGAGCTAACTTTGGGAAACATCTTCTTTGACAACTCAGCTGGTGTCCCTCTACCTTTCCTAGGGTGTCCTGTTCTATATTCTTTCTGGCCTTAGATATGGGCTCCTTCAAGGCTCCTGTTCTTTTGATTCACCACCCCAATTTTGTTTATTTTGTCTTTGGCTATTCTGACTAACTTTCCCCCTATGCCCCACACTTTTGATGAATCCTCTAGAATCCTCTCTTCTCTTTCAACTGTGCCCTTTCATTCTAACAAAGGCAGCTTAATTCTTTGGAACTCTGCCCCCAGGTGTCACTGCCCATCTAGCCCAACTGAAAGAATCTCATCTTGGTTATCTACTCCTGCACAAAATCTTCATTTAGGGATTTACAATAAACAGTGGCATATTTACATATTTACTCTCTCTTTAGCGTCTTCTCCTTTGTTATGGAAGGAGAGGCTCAACCTAAATCCATAATCACTCTTTGAAGGTACAGTGTATTAAAGGAGCTGCCTTTCCTGGTCCATAGACAGCTACCTACAGGATATGATTTGTACCCAAACCAGGAAGAGCTCCCACCCTGGTCTGGCCCTGATGCCTAGTTTGCTTGAAATTTCATTCTTTTTAGTGAAGGTACTTTTCCCCAGTTAAAACAGAAATACTTCAGGGAAGGGTAACACATAAAACAATGTTTTGAAGAAAAATAGAGAATATTTAAGTTATTCATAGTGAATTCCTCCCCCCCCAAGAAATACTGCTATTGAATTATAGTTTTTAAAAGAGGGGAGACCTTTTATTATGTGATTTGGTTTTTGAAATTCTCCTTTTGCTATAGTAAAAAAAAACCTTAAAAATTGTTTAGCTAGCTTTATGAATTTGTGTTACATTGACCTCACAAACTAAAAACTAAGGAATTCTTCTTTGGAAGAAAGGAGAAAAAGGCAGGGGGAATCAGCAGCAGGCAAGATGGACATGGCTCTTTTGGAAAGCAATCAATGCCACTAGTTCATCCGGGAAGGAATTAATCATCAATTCAACAGATAGTACAACTGCTACAATCTGAGCAGATATTCTACAAATCCATCATTTCAGTTTAGGTCTCTTAACAAGCACTAGTAAGTGTTACCCTCCCTATAGTCTTATCTGAGGCTATTATAGTTAGAATAGAACACAATTTAATATTTAATCATTATCCCTTTACATTGTTTTAACCTAATTAACCTGTTAAGTTTGCTAATATATCCAACCCACATGCTACAACATTAACATTCGGATAAACTACTTAGGGGGAGAGGAAGAAAATGTCACGTTCAACCACTAGCATCGTCAATGGTTCTAATAACTTCTGACAATGAAAAATAATTGGTAGTTTTGGCAGATATAATACTAGGTAGAGCTTGCTTGAAGTCTGAGTGGTGGACACATGAGGATTTCAGAATGAATATCAAGCATAACAAGCTATCAATTACTTATCTAGGATAATAGGGACAAATTAACCCCAGGCAGAGAAAATGTGATACATAGGTGGATATCAGACTCCCAAAATGCAACAGTGTTTCAACTGAAAGGTCTAGTTTTGTGTCATCTTTGCTAGTGCACTTTAAATGCAATGCGGCAGTTATCACCTCCAGTACCTTCTTCAGTGCTGAAATACAGTCATATTTGAGCCAGATAGAACAGGTTTGTTTTATGAACTAAGATTCTGTAAACTTCTCACATTATCTGTAAACAATCTGACATATGTGATCAATATTCCAGGCCAATATTTGGGTTCACCTAGACATTCATTTTCAAAGGTTTCACTAATTTAAGAATTTGAAAGCAACTCCAAAAATGTGGCAGCAATGCCAGTTTGTCCCTTAGTGATACTGTGGGGGTTAGCTGACCCTCAGAAGAGAACATATTAAGTAGCATGGGATCATTATGATGCTAAGTGAGGGTGGACTATTAACTCAAACCTTTCTCTTTCCTCCCCACAATTCAACATTCCCGGATGAAGCAACATTCTCATTAGATGAGGCTCCAATGAAGGACAATTAATGCTATGATCTAGTCCCATATATCAGTCAGTTTGTTTGAGGTATCTCCAACCTGGAAAATGGCTTCCTAAAAAGACACACAAAGAAACTTGGGACTCTCTTTCAGTTGGTTTCTTGTACTCAAGAAAACATGGTTCATTAAATACTATGACAATAAGAGACATTTTAAATACAAATGAAATGTCAAAATTTAAATGGCACTTATTAATATGATAAGAACTGGCCACTTTCTAATAAACCAGTTTGCCCAAACAAACAACACTTGAGGGATTTCTGGCCATGGCCTGTCTTAATTCCTTTATTGACATGATTCTTATAGTGGCCAAGTAAAAAAAACAAAACAAAACTGTAGGCACTTCAACCACACTACTGTTTTCTCAAAGTTTGTATTTTTTAAGAACTTTGTTGCCACCTAGTTCTCTCTCCTGTAAATCACCACATGGTTTGAGATCCTGAAGCCTTGATAAAAAGCATTATTCTTAGCACTGCTCTCAAAGTGACCATGGACAAAGAGTAGAGTTCAGTGAGCAAGAGATCAAGGCCAGGAATTAAAATCTAGTTTGCTGGGCAGAACAATATCATAGGGATCTTTTTACCTCTGGAGATATCGCCTTGGATGCCTCAAGCGCTCTGCTCTCTGACACAAATTAGCCAAGATAGATATAGAACGTTAGTTTGTAGAGCTTTCTAGCTAAAAACAATAGCATAGAACTAAATCCAATTACCAAAATTAGACCGTCTACCATGGATCAAACTGGAGGAAGAAAAAATGAGATTTACCATAGAAACAGGTAACAATATTGCCAACAGCATCTGACTGAAGAAAGAATGTTTACTGTTTCCACCCATCTTTCCACACAAGTATGAGCCACGTCAACATAAATGAATTATGGACTAAGTCCAGAACCAATGATTCAGTTCACATATCCAAGCCTATTACAATTCCAGAATGCCTATTTCTACTTTTAAAAGGGCAGGTATTATTTTATTACCCTGGTTTATGTTAGAAGGATATAGAAATTTTGCATCTGGTACAAGTTACCTGGCTCTGTTCAGTTAGACTGAACATATTTTGACATCAATGCAACCCAGACAAGGATTCCCCTTTCCTAGATGCCTTGCCTTTTCCAGGAATATTCTATGATCGTCTTTATTACACCCCTTCCTTGGATGCTAAAAGTTTGCTTAGAAATGCACACAATTAAAACTACTAAAAATAATGTTAATACAATAGTGGTTTTCTTTCCTTTCTTTCAAAAGAAAACAAAGAGCCTAGAATATAAGCAATTAAATAAATTTACTTCAAAACCAAAGAAGGATGAAGGAAGGAATCCTGATATATTTTTAAGAGTTGGTTAATATGATCAGATTATATGGAAGGCATAGCTAATTTAAAAAGTTATATATGAGTATTAACCAATAACAGCCCCGCCCAACTGATACTCATTTGATTTGGCACAGCAAAACCAATTTTAGTCTTTTGGTCTCAACACAGTATTAACCACAAAAGGCAAAGGATGATGTTTGTTCATTTTGAGAGAAAACGAGAACTAAAATGCTAATTTGATTCCTCTGAAGGGCTGCAGCAGGCATGCAGGCCACTTGTTAAGAAAAAACAAAACTGTTCACAGTTGAGGATACTTCAACTTGATGGTATGCTGGCTGTTAGGACTTGTTGAGAAGCCAGCCACCAGAAGACGGACGCTCTCTCCCCCTCTAGGAGACTACTCCTGTCAAAGAAGAAAAGGGGCCAGTTGTACTTCACCGGTCAGAAGAAGCCATCTGGTTTCCAGTAATGTTAGGAGATGGTTATTGTCCAGGCTGTTTTCCATCAAAAGACACATGCCAAATAAGAGTGCCCATTAGGTAAGAGGGACTTGCAGTCACCTCAAAAATACTTCAGCAAATCCTCATTATCCAGATATATAAAAAAAGATGCACTTCCGCCTCTCAAGACAAGAGAGAACTGAGCCTCTAAGACAGGAGTCTCCAATGTCCCATTTATAGGAATAAGGGCAGCATCTCTCCTCTTATATAGGCAAAGTTTACTCCTATGTTTTTTTTTTCCTTCCAGGCAAAGGAAGTTTTTTATAGCAAAACAACTGCCTTCTCCATCTTCCCATGACTGTCATTTAGAAAACAGGGGAGTCGCAGAACGGGCAAGGGCCTTGCAATAACCTCTTTATCCAGTCAGGATCTGTGAAAAGGAAAACAAGGGGTATCAAACACGGATTTTATAAATCACAATAGGCAGCAGAGTATGAGGGGTGGGAAATGAAATGAAGAAACAAAAGAAAGGAAGTTAGAAACTAGGACCTTACACAAGTCACTTCTCTTCTCTAATCTTTTAACCCATCATTACACATTCTTCCCAACTGGCAAGATTTTACACTTAACTAGTAGTTTTTTGTTCACTTCTATCTCCATAATGATGCACAAAGAGGCTATGAATTTTTCACTGTTACCAATGTTAAAAAATATACTTAGTACAAAAACAGTCCCACTTCTTTAAACATAAAATTTAGATCAGTTCAACTCAAAGCAGAGAAGGAGGTTATGATGATCTGTGTTTCTACTTTTGCTAAAGTAGACACCAGAAGCTGGGTATTCTGTGTTGTTGCTTGATAATGTCAAAGTCAATTGTCTCATGTCTGATATCAACCTGGGCTAGTTAAAAAGTCCTCTGTTCTGTGGTCACAAAATGTATTCCAACACTGTTGTTGTCGTTGAATAATTTCAGTCATGTCCGACTCTGTGACCCCATTTGGGGTATTCTTTGCAAAGATAATAGAGTGGTTTGCAATTTCCTTTTCTAGTGCATTTTAAAGATGAGGAACTAAGGAAAACAGTGCTAAATGACTTGCCCAGGGTCACATGGTTAGTAAGTATCTGAGGCTGCATTTGAATTCATGAAGATGAGTCTTCTTGACTCCAAGCCCAGTGCTCTAACCACTGTGCAACTAACTGCCCTTTGCATCTCAATGTTAGCAAACCATTTAATGAACGTATGCTAAAGGGAACCACCAATTAGTCAAAAAAGTAGGGATCTGCTGTATCTCACGCCATTTATCAAGAAATATCCCAAATGCATACATGACTTAAATGGTGACATCTTCAGCAATTCAGAAAAGTAAGGAGGAAACTACCTTTCACACTTATAGATGGAGGAAGGGGTCAGGACTAAATAAGCAATAAAGAAGTTTACTGAATATAACAGACCACTTTGGTCATATTCAATTATAAAGTTTTTACATAAACAACTGCAATGCAATTAAAATTAGAAAGGAAACAGGAAATATTTGCAGCAAGTTTCTTTGATAAATGTCTCAATCCTAAGATATATAAGGAATATCCATTCAGTGGTAGCTGGCAGCACTTTGTAAGCTTCTTTGGATGTTTCCCCTTTTTTTTTGTCTCCCTCTCTTCCTCTATCCCCCCCACCCCCAGCCCTAATTTCTCTTACTAGGACAGTGTGCAGCCTCAGATTAAACTAAAATGGAAGAAGAAATTGGTGTTCTTTTCATCAACAATGGCTCTGGCATGTGCAAACTGGCTTTGCTAGGGATGATGCTCCTCAGGCTGTGTTCTTCTCCATTATCAGATGCTCAAGACACCTGGGTGTCATGATGGGAATGGGACAGAAGGACAGTTATGTTGGTGATGAGGCCCAGAGCAAGAGTTATCCTGACTCTGAAACATCCCATTGAATATGGCATTGTAACTAACTGGGATGACATGGAGAAAATCTGGCATTATACCTTCTACAATGTGAAGCCCCTGAGGAACACCTTGTTCTGCTTACAGAAGTTCCTCTAAACCTCAAGGGCAGCAGAGAGAAGATGATACAAATTATGTCTGAGGACTTCAACACTCCAGCCACCTATGTTGCTATTCAAGCTGTGTTGTCTCTGTACGTCTCTAGTTATACCACCATCATCATTATGGACTCTAGTAATGGTGTCACCCACACTGTGCCCATCTATGAGAATTATGGCCTTCTCCATGCCACACTTCATCTAGAGTTGGCTGGCCACTGCCTGACGGACTACCTCATGAGACACTGACAGAAAGTGGGTAAAGCTTTACTACCATAGCTGAAAGGGAAATTATTCATGACATCAAGAAGAAGCTGTGCTATGCTGCCCTGGACTTTGAGTAGGAGATGGCCACTGCGACTTCATTCTCTTCCCTGGAGAAGAAGTAAGCATTTCCCAATGGCCAGGTAATCACCACTGGCAATGAGAGGTTCAGGTGTCCAGAGGCCTTCTTCCAACCATCCTCCATGGGTACTGAATACTGTGGCATTCACGATGTTGATATCCAAAAGAATCTATATGCCAACACAGTACTGTCTGGTGGTACTACTACTCTGGCATTGCTGACAGAATGCAGAAAGAAACCACAGCCCTGGTACCTGGCACAATAAAATTGAAGATCATTGCTCCCCCTCAATGTAAGTATTTAATCTGAATTGGTAGCTCTATTTAGGCTTCTCTCTGCACTTTCCAGCAGATGTGGATCAGTAAGCAGGAATATGATGAATCTGGCAAATCTACTGTCCATCACAAATGTTTCCAAATGGACTGCTAGCAGATCCACAGCATTTACTGCATGAGTATTCACAAAGTAGACGTTTGCCTTCGCAAATATACATTTCATGTTAGCCTCATGAAGCTGGAATAAGCCTTCTTTGAAAAGAAACTTGCTGGGGCAGCTAGGAGGCACAGTAGATAAGAGTACTGGTCCTAGAGACTGAAGGAACCTAAGTTCAAATGTGGTCTCAGACCAGATGCTGGACACTTACTAGCTGTGTGACCCTGGGCAAGTCACCTAACCCTGACTGCCTCAGAGGGAAAAAAAAAAAGAAAAGAAACTTGTCCTTGAGGAAGTTTATATCTGATATCAGACAAATATCAGCACTTTTTAGATTGCTGAACTGTTACTGACTTGACCTCATATTCAAGTTAATAGTTGTTCCTTTGGTGTTTAGCATACCTTGTACACCACTTTGATCTAAACCCTGATACAGGTCACTTCATTTCAACAGGTAAGACTAAGAGTTAACTTTTATACAGAATTGACCTGATAATATGGCAATATAGCATCTGGCTGATTGACACTCAACAGCTGTACATTTTAGTTCTGTAAAGAATTAGGTCTGTACAGAGTACCTAAAGGTCACATTTCCAGCATCTAAAAAAGCTGACTTGCAGAATTTCCCTCCTAAGGCTAGTAAGACTTTTTTACATGTGTTATTAAATTATATCTTGCCACCATCTTAGCAGGAATACATACTGAAAAAACAAACCTTAGACAGAATATTTTTCCTCCCCTAACCCATTGTTTCCCCCCAGTGTCATGGGGTTAAGTTACTTAACCTTGAGTTGCAAAAAAGTCTGCATTCACAACTTGTAAATTTGTGCATCTAGTTAATTAATATATGTAAGATTTCTATAGCTGCCTTAATGTTCTCACATGACAGTAGTATACTAAAATTTGTAAGTCATTTTAGGAGTTGAGAATCGTAATGCCCAACATTTTATTATGTACAGAAAAATCAAAGTGCTGTAAGTAAACTAAAAAAAAAGCTATATAAGGAATTGATTTAAATTTATAAGACTAAAGAGTTATTTTCCAACTGATAAATGGTCAAAGAATAGGCAATTTTCAAAGAAAGAAACCCAAGATAGCAACAACCACATAAAAAATGTTCCAAGTCACTAACAGTTATAGAAATACAAATTAAAGCAACTCTGAAATCTTATTTCACAGCCATCGGATTGGAAAGAAAACAGAGAAAAGGAGTAAAATGTGAAATGTTGGAGGGACTGTGGAAAAACAGGTACATTGGCACACTGTTGGTGAAGCTGTGAATTAGTCCAATCATTTTGGAAAGCATTTTAGAATTATGTCCAAAAAGTTACTAACCTATGCAGACCTTAGGCCTAAACCCAAAGAAATCAAAGCAAGAGGAAAAGGAGTTATATACATGTTAAAAAAAAATATCTAAAACAGCTCTTTTGGTAGTAGCCAAAAATAGAAACTAAGGGGGTGTCTACCTACTGGGGAACGGCTAAACAAATTATGACATATGAATGTAGCAGAATATTACTGTGCCACAAAGAATGATGAAAGGGACAGTTTCAAAGTGAACTAGGAAGACCTCCCTGAAGGGCTGCAGAGTGAAGTGAGTGGACTAGGAGAACAATGTATACAAGAACAACATTAATATAGATAAAAACAACTCTGAAAGATTTAGAATTCTAATCAATGAAATGATAAACTAGGAGTGCCGAGAAATGATCACCTCCTGATAGAGAGTAGTAATGGGCTTAAAATGCAAACAAAACACATTTTTCTAAATCACCAATATGGGAACTTATTTTCCTGGACTATGCATATTTGTTATGAGAGTTTTAAACTTTTTTTCAAAAAATTGTTCCAATGGGAGAGGAAATACTGTTTGTAAAAATATTTTTAAAAATACATATTAAAAAAACACCCTAGATGCCCTATCTTAAAATATTGTATTCTCTTCCCACATAAATGGGGGCAACTAGACATAATGGGACATAGTAAATTAGATCAAGGAGCAAGAAAAAAAAAAAAGGAGTAGGGATGATGAACGGGTCAGCACAAATTCTTAAACGCTGGAAAAACAATTCAAAATAGCTATCCTGCTGAAGAGTGGTAGTGTCATCTTTGTATCCAAGGAACAATATTATTAAGAATCTCATTTGAACTTTTCTTAGTTAATCAATGAAATATAATGGTTTGCACACACAAACCAAGTGTTAACCCTGTCATATTTTAGATTGAGTCCACTCTCTATGGACATAGCATCACTCACCATAGCAAACCACAGAGCCACGTGATTCACATAGTAAATGTAATATATACTTAGACACGGCATTCTCCAATTACCATTTTCTAATTAGAGCTGTGGCTAAACAATAACATTGTAAAGAGCAGAATACTATCCCTGCTTTCACTCTCTGCCTGCATAATAGACAATAATTCTGAGCCCGACCCGAGTCGTTATACTGATGACTGGGCATTCTGCCAGCATTTTTAATCCCATCCTTCCAAGCCAGGGAAGACACTCACTCACCTTCTGGAGTTGGATGTCGTGCGATGCTGTCATGAAGCAAACACCTTCTGTATATCAAACTCTGGCAGGACTGGTAGGTTAAAAAGCACCTGAAAGAAGACACTGTATTGTCAAGAGAAAAAGTTGGCTGGATTCAAACCAATAAACTCTGAGAGCAGTATGCTATTTGGTTGGAGGTTCACCATGGGCAGCTAATTATTTTGGAAAGATATGAACCAAGGTGAAAGAACAAAAATAATCACAAGCTCAATGCAGCATCTAGGCATCCATATTAGTAAAAACCACACTTGTTGTGACCCAGTAAGATTGGCACAAGCCAAGGAAAAGGTTTATGTATAGGGCATGAGATCAATTGGGCAAAGGCTTATGGAAGGTTATGCTCAGGCAACAGTAGTCAAAAATGGTACTGATGAGGGGTAACTATGGATAGACAGGATCTTTGTTGACTGCACCTTCCAATTTGTCTGTTAATTCAAAGATATCATTGCCTAGTCTGGAAAGAATTCAAAATCTGCCTTATAGATGGCTGGACCATGAAATCCTTTGGCTCGTGTTAAAAAATTTATAGAGCATACAAGATGCGTGTTCTAGACACTACTGAGTTTGTGATTTTTATTAGTCAGCGTCTCTATTTGAAGAAGTTTATGAGCTAGTTGCAAGGAGAAGGAGGAGGAAAGAAGAGCAGGAGAGGTGGAAAATGCAATACAAATAAATTTAAATGACAAAGAACACATAAAAGATATAACATAGATACAGAAGATCCATTGATTCTAAGTGAGGAAACATGGGATGCAATGGGATGGTGCAGTATAATAGGTCATTCCAGATTACTCAGAGAATATTTCTTGGAAAATAAGGAGGGAAACTGTTCCAATATTGAATAAAGGATTGGAAGGGGAAGAATTAACAGTAAAACACCACAAGGGCCCAGTGGTAGTATTTAGAAATTACATTTTGTCATTATCTTTTCTCATTAGAAAAAACAACTGTCTTTGTGAAAGAGCCAATTTGCTCAAAATGTGAAATTCACAAAAAGTTTAATTTTCTATATTACAATTTCTGGAAAATAGTAAGACTGAAAGCCATTTAGAGTAAGTCTATTACAAACAAAAATAACCCTAACCAAATAAATAAGAAAACTACACATGAGTTTGAAAATTCTATTTTAAACTGTTCCTTTCCTAACCTATAGATGAAAAAGAGTCAATAGTAGGTCCTACCAAAATGATAGTCACTCTCCCACATAAACTTATGAACAACATACTTCTTCAGTGGGTAATACTTGTACATGTCAGTGGCAGACATTTGCTCTAGTCTATAAGGGGAACAATCAACCAATCAATAAATATTTATTAAGCACTTACTATGTGCCAGGCATTGTGCTAAGCATGGACTTAGCACAAAAGCAGAGCTGATACAAAGCCACTTACCGAAGCCAAATGTGCCCATTGGAGCAAACTGCCTGCTTACGATCTGTGAATGGCAAAATTTCTTTACACAAGCTGCAGTGTTCAGGGAAAGTTTGTTTGTTCATCTTCTTTGAGATGTGCCCAATGAGTACCTAAGAAGACATAGCAGAAGCAATAGTTAGAGGTGAATGTAGCATTATCGAAAGGGGAATGCCTCAGAAGGAAAAATCCCATTAAAATAAAGAAAAAGTAACTTAAAATCCAATGTGATAGAAGTAGATAGACTTATAATTCTCTATTGGCTAACCATAGTACTTGAGAAGGAAGAAGTTGCACCACTGACCACACTTAGGTAAACTGAAAGAAATACTGAATGAAACAGAAGTCATTCATGGTAGTGTATTAATATAATAACACAGATTGAGTTCACTAAGGCAAAAACTATCCCTTAAAAGCAAATATATATTATCATCCTCCTTTAAAAAAAATTTTTTTTAAGGCTATTGGGGTTAAGTGACTTGCCCAGGGTCATACAGCTAGCAAGTGTCAAGTGTTTGGTCTGAGGCCGGATTTGAAATCTTGATTTCAGGGCCGATGCTCTATCCACTGTGCCACCTACCTGCCCCCTTTTCAAATATTTCTGAAATGAGCACCTAAAGCTTTTGTTACAGGTTGTGAAAAATGTAATGCAATCATTAAGTTTTTGAGGCTGTATAAGGAAAATCATCCCTTCATAGAAGGGATGTTAGGATGTTAGGAAGTTATTGTTAGGAAGTATAGCTCAAAACACCATCTCCTTTGCAAAATTAGCTAAATGTCTATTCCTAAGAGGCTAGAAAAATCCAGTTGGATGTCAGTCTTGGTAAACAACAATCAGGAATATAAAAAATTTAACTTTACCTTGCAATAATTTATCAGAACCTACAAGTAAGGGTTGACATATTGGGTCAGATCAATATATAGCTTAGGATTCTGTTGGTAAAAAAGGTCCCAAGGGATGAGCTACAGGACCAAGTTGTCCTCCCTGCTATCAATCGTAAAGGGTTATATATACCCTAGTTTCTCTTTATTATCAAATATGAGCAAATGCTTTTGAATCCATTTGTATATGTGTGTGTTTGTGCCACACATTTTTTTTTACTTCTACTACCTATTTAAGAAATGAGTTCCATGAGTTTATTATTCACTGTGTGAAATGGACCTTTCATTTGTCCTAAACCTACCTCACTGAGTTGAAAAGGGTATCCCTTGTCTCACTGTTTAGAGACTTAATTAAAACATTTGGTTTCACTTTTATCCACATGCTGTTCATAATATTACAAATTTCAATTGCATTTATTCTTAGCAAAGAATCCTCCTTCTTCTAGTTTATCCTCATAGCACAGTCCCCAGCCATCCTTCCTATCACTCTCCAGTCTTTTTGAGGTACAGCAACCAGAATTTCATTGAATTCCACTAGAGTTTTAACATAAGGGGCAGCTGAAAGTCTGCAGAATAGGAATCAAAGCTGGAAAGAGCCTCAGAGGCCCCCTAGTTCAACCTCCTCATTTCATGGATAAGGCATCTGAGACCAGGACAGATGAGGTTACTTGCCCAGGGTTATAGGAGTTTCTGTTTTGTTTTGAAATATCCTTCTTGGTGACATGCAAAGTGTTTTATTGGCCCTTTTTAGCAGCAGTCAAAGGCCAAAATCATCAGGAATACTTAACAATAACTCCCAAGTCATTTATACATAGAGTTTGGATTTTAAAAAATTTACTAAATACCCTTGCACACATTAAAATCTATGAACTATAGAAAGATGCAGGTTTAGCAGAAACTTCTCTTTTGTAATGGCTTTGTGGTGGCTGCCCAACTTATGCAAAAAAAAAAAAAGCAAATTTCTCAATATCTTGGCAAACAACAACAATATGACCTTGAACTTATATACCACCAATAGCTTTTTCAAAGTGCTTTTACATGTATATCATTTAATTCATGTAACATCCCTGTAATGTAGATACAGCAGGTGTCAGCACCTCCACTTTAGAGAGGAACAGGTTGAGTGAGATTAAGGGAGGTTGATAGTGAAGAGATGACAAGAAGCAAATTAATTGGCAATGTGAGGTCTCTTACCTCTTAGTCCAGAGCTACACCACATTAATATGAACATAATGCCAGCACACCAAATTTCAGCCCAATAAATTAGTCAATATAAAATACCTTAAATTCTAGGGAGGAAAAGTACTTTATTATGGTTTTGTTGTTGTTTAGTTGTGTCTGACTTTTCTGTGACTCCTTTTTGGGGTTTGCTTGGCAGAGATACTGGAGTGGTTTGCAATTTCCTTCTCCAGCTCATTTTATAGGTGAGGAAACTGAGGCAAATAGGGTTAAATGATAAGGTAAAACAGCCTTTAAAAAAACACTTAAATAAGACTAGTAAGTGTTTTCATGAATATTCTGAATTGTACCTGAGCGATAATTCATATCAAGAGAGTATATAGCCCTTTGGAAAGAAGCAGCAATAAGTAATCTATGACTCTACTATACATACAGATTTATGATTTAACATGAGGGCTAATGATATTTGAACTTTATATCTCCAATTTATACTGGAGAAAGACTTTAAACAATGACAGCAAATCACTAGGGCAGAAAGCAACAGACAGTAGGGGCTTTGAATTTGTCTACATTAGTTCCCTCATCAGTAAAATGGGGATAATTATAATACTAATCCCCCTGCCATGGTTGCTGTGGGGATAAAAATAGGACATTTATAAAGTGTTCTGCAAACTTTAAATGCCACATAAATTCTAGCTATCATCATCATTATTATTACTGTCTTCTAAAAAAATAATATAGGTAACACTTCCTAGATATTTTGCTTGCCCCTGCTCTCTAAATTGGGAAAAGCTCTATTCCTGAATCTATTAAGAAGAAGAAAAAAAAATCAAAATACAGCAACTAACATTTGGAAGGGAGAAGGGAAAGAAAGACAGGGGTGCAATAATCTTTTTTATCTCTGTCAGGACCACCCCATAATACATACCTTGCTAAATGTAGCTTCCTTGCACCCACTTATCTAGAAAAGCCTTACACTGACACTAGATTCCTTGTTTTAAGAATCTATCGTGCATTCATCCGAAGTCTCATGCATTAATTTTTCTACTACAATGCCACAAAGCAAAAGGTACGCTTTAAGAATCCCGATACGGCTACGTCTCGCTCATGGAGGTAAATGTAGACCTTTCACACAGTGTCCCTGCTGTCATCAGTTATCACCTACCCGAGCTGTTCTGTCATCATAGCCTTCATCAGACATTAAAAAGTCACAGAGTCCTCTGGTGGGGATGCTAGTGTTCTCTGTGATCCATGTATGCAGGTATACTTCCCCCAATACTCTCTTCATGTGCTCCCTAGTTAAGTGCATTTCCACGGCTTCAATTCTTCCTTGGATTTCCAGGAGCTTTTCTTCCATTGGCTCACGACCTGCATCTCCAGACTGGATTGGTGAGCTGTCCGCTAGATCTTCAGCATCTCTTTCTTTGTTTCTCTCATGACCACCTGGCTTGCTCATTTGTTTGAAAGAAGTTCCTTCTTCCTGTTGTTCCTCCTCAGCGTGGCCCAGCCCAAGAGAGTCAGTTATTAATATTTTGTTGTCCTCGTGGGTGGGTTTCCATAAGACCTCTGAAGGGGTTTTCTGCATTGACTGGTATAAAATCCGCAAGAGGAAAAGTTTAAAACGCCAAAAGTAAGTAGATCCAGAACCTTCAATCTTTTTGTCCAAGGCTTCTTGTAAAAACTGAGGGATATGTTTATCTTTCAAAATTTTCCAGCGTACCAGGTCTAATAAGTCTACCTGCTTAAAGAGGTTTTGAACTGAAGACTCTAAGAGTTGAGCTGCTGCCTCTTCAAATGTTTTGAGAGTTACAAACTGAACCTGGTAGTTTTTATTAACAGGATGCAGACCATTGACCATGCCCTCAGTTGTGATGACTGCCAAGTATGCACCACAGGGGCTTACTGCTATCCCATGAGTCCTCACTGAGCCAAATACTTCTGATAGTTTAATCAGTTGGTGCTCAAACTTTAATGCCACATCTGTAAAAATGGGAATCAGCTGCCTAACCTTTCCATCACTTGAGCATGTGTATACCGTACCATTTTGCTTGTCTGCAGTCATAGAAACAATTGGTAGTGTATGAAGTCCTGTGACATGGGAATTATGAACATTCAGACCTGCTTTGGATATCAGAAGAAGACACCAAAACACATAGGATCCCCTAGCAGCCACCACTAAGCTACAACTACATTTCTGATAAGGATGATAAAGAGGAATACATTTAATGCTGTGCACTGGCAACTGGTCCATTTCTTTCCATAGAATAACAGGTTGCCTTAATGTGAAGTAGCCTTTAACTGCTTTGAGGTTAACAGGAAGAATTTTAACAGGCCCAAAAGCACTCCCCACAATGAGCCCGCTCATCTTTCGATTGTTGTGTTCATACTCCCACCAAAACAAAACACTAGGAGAGGTAATCCCTGATTCAATGGTGTTGCATGAAGAGATGGATTCCTTGCCAATAAATGGGAGCTGAAACTGCCACACTGCAATGTTTCCATTTTCGAAAAGGACTGCCAGAAGAACACTGCCAACATCACGGCATTCATTATTGTGTTTGACCTGCTGGGTGGTGCAAATGCCTGACCACTCCATCCGTACTGGCGTCTGCATGCTGTGTCTCCTCTGAAACTCGGCGAAGTCCCCAAGATCTCCTTCAGGGGCTTCATTTTTGGTGAGCTTATAGCTGGTCTCATAAAGTCGTTCTCCATAGATCTCGGTTAGATCAACCAGCTGTACCCACTGCAGTCTGTTGAGGTTAGCCTGGATAGTCAACCGATTGTCCATGGTCAATGCTGACAACAGGCATCTCCCATTAGCATCACAGCCCACTGGGGACCAGCTAGTGTACTTGAATCCTCTCATTGGTGGCAAAGATTTTCCTTCAGGATTGAATACCCTATCCAGCATGAAGCTCTGACTGACCGTAGGGTCCTTAGAGGTGGCAAATTTCTCCTTACATTCAGCAACCTCCTTTTTTGAACCAACCTGAGGAGAAAAAAAGAGATTTTTTTGAAACTAGATAAACACTACCTCAGATTAATACAAATATAAAGTATCATTTCGTGTGAATCAAGTGACTCATATTAAGATTACAGATAAATGAACACCTTCAATACTGCTTTTACTTTTTTGTGGCAAACTGGGTACTCAAAAGAAAAGGGTACTTCTTTAAATTATGACATGACCAAAAACCAACTGAAAATCTAAGAGAACATAAAATAGAACACATTATTCCCTTCCTAACAGCAAGATATGGGGACAGATCATTGTATATAATGTCAGATGAAGTTGGTGAATCAGATATTTTTGTTTAATTGTCATTCTTTGTCATATCTCTTAGGTTCAATCTGTGAGGGGGGAAGTGGTGGCCATCCCCCCCTCCCCCCGCCCACGGTCTATAATGTTAAGATCAAAAGCACCAACAAAAATAATATTAAAAAAAAATAGTGTAATTACATTCTCCAAGGGTCAACTAAAATTACTTACCCCAGGTTGGCTATTATTATTTTTAAACGAACAGTAGGTACTATTAACAACTTGGTCTCCCCCTTTATCTTGAAGAGGAAAAATCACATCGTTAGCTGGTCCTTAGTGCCATAAAATAATAGGCGTCAAATACCAACACAGCATCCAGCTAGGCCTAACATAAAACAGTAAGTGCATTAAAAGACATGTTCCTTTGATACAGTTAAGTGTCAGATGTTTTACATTCTTTTAGGGAACAAAAAACCTTCCTATAATATACCTGACCTCAGTTGGTGGTAGCAGAATGAGTACTTTTTAACGACAAGTGTTGTTTGTGGTTAAATGCTGCCTCTAAGCTTCACTCATAAATTATTCTCAGAATGGAACTTAAATGGCTTGGTTTGATTATTTTTTCCCATGGCCGTCTTATAGGTGACCTCTAACCTGAGTTAGCTGGGTCTACTCAGTATCCCCCAAACACATCCTATGCATTCTTGTTCCCCAAATGTGGAAGGTTTCCCTCACTCTCTTTACCTAGCCAATTCCTAGCCACTCTTGGAGGCTCAGTTCAAATCTCATGTCTTTGTACAAGATCTTCCCTGACCATTCTAACCCTGAATCATCTCTCCATCTTCTAAACTTACAGTTGTTAACTGTCTGTATCATTCACTTCACACTTAACACACCCTACCTTGTGACAAGGAACTCTCTGATGGACTCATCTGTTCAAAAAATAGAATGAGAGGTACAGAACAAGTAGGGTGTAGTGGAAAGGGTTCTAGGCCTGGAGTCAGCCTGGATCTGAATCTGAGTTCTGCTACTCATTTCCTTGGTTGCCCCCCAACAAGTTACTTAACCTCTTCAGCCCTTAGTTTCCTCAATCAGAAAATGAGGAAGTGGTCTGAGGTTCCATTCAACTCTAAATCCTGTTATCCTCTGGATACAAAAGAGTGGCACAAACCTGCTAAAATTAGTATCAGGAAGGCTAGATTAGGCCAAAATGAGTTGAGGTTTGTAGGAAATGGTAAAGACAACAATATCTATATCTGAAGCAAGAAGAATAAGAATTAAGGGGCATATCCATTGCTTATCATGAGTGGGTAGGCAATGTAACAGATGCACTCAAGCCCCAATTTTCCTTCCATTTTTTTCATCAAGGAAAATTCTTTTAATTGAAAAGGGTAGAGCAAACACAATTTAGATGAAATTAAATCCCCAAATGTAAGAGAAGATAAAGTACCCAACAACTTTAAGTCAATTAACAACTCCAAGCACAGAATATTTATATTCTACAGCATTGAAAGAATACATGAGTGTAATAACAGAACCACTGTTAATAATCTTTGATAAATGAGAAATTAAGAAAAGTTCTAGAAGACAGGGGATATTTTAAGAAATATCCCCAATTTTCAAAAAAGGGAAGAAAAGAAGGATTCTATACATTTAAGTTTGTGTAAGCTCCAGGCTGTTCCCTGCAAAATTCTAAAACAGAGAATTAAACAAATGGATCTTAAGCACTTAGAAAAGTGTGCAGTGATCATGGACAATAAACATTGACAAATGAACCTATTTTCCTTCATTGATAGAATTATCATATTGGCAGAGCAGAAGAGAGTTGTCATTGTAGCATGTTTTGATTTCAAGAAAGTCTAATGAGTTCAGATTTTAAATTATCTGTATAGAAAAATGGGAAGAATAGTATAGAACAAGGATGTTGTGATAGAAAGATTGCTGGAATTGGAGTCAGAGAACTTTGGTTGGAATTTCAGTTCTATTACTTCCCATCTGGGTGACCTCTAGTGATGAGCTTGTGACAAAATCTCTCACAATATCCTTGTGAATGAGACAGAGTCTCACAATATCCTTGTGAAATAGATGTCAAATAAAAGTACAATTAAGTGGAATTGTTGCTGGTTGAACAACCCTACCCACTGAGTGTTGCGACCTGGAAGCAGATTTTTAGTGCTGATTCACAGGGCTCTATACTTGGCCCTGTCCCGTCTCAACATTTTTCTGAATGACTCGGATGAACATGTACAAGATATACTTTTTTACTGATGATATGAAGCTGGAAGAAATAGCTAATTCGTTGGATGACAGAATCAAGACTCAAAATTATCTCCACAGGCTGAAAAGATAAGCTGAACCAGACAAGATGAAATTTAGGAGGGATAAATATGAAGACAACTAACAGACAGTTAAGTCAACAGGCCAACAAGAATTTATTAAATGCTTGTTATGTCAGGCACCATGCTTACTTTACTAGGGATACAAAGAAAGGTAAAAACAGTTCCTGTCCTCGAGGAACTCAAAATTTAATGCAAACAATTATGCTAAAAACAAGAGATGTACAGGACAAATTGAAGAAGATCTGAGAGGAAAAGCATTAGAGTTCAGGGGGACTGAAAAAATCTTGCAGGTGATCTGAGACTAGAAAGAAGCCAATGAACCCAGGGGGTAGAGAAAAAGGAGAACATTCCAAGCACAGGCAGGGTCAGTACAAATGAACTGGGCGCATGTTAAATGTGCTCTAAGAATGCTTTTCTTAGAGTGAGACAGGAAGCCAGTGTCACTGGATCACCGATTATACGGGGAGGATGAACATGTAGGAAGGGGCCAGATCAGGAAGGACTTTAAAAGCCAAGCAGAGGCACGGCAACAAGCACTTCTTTATCCAAACAGAGGATTTTAAATTTGATTTTGGAGGCAATAGAGAGCCACCAGATTTTATTGAGTGTGGAAGTGACACAGTCAGATCTATACCGTAGAAAGACAACTTTGGCAGAGTAAGGCAGAAACTCACCTTAGCTCTCCTAAATTGACCTCCAAACAACTACAAAATAATGCCTCAAAATGAATTTGCAAGCAGCAAAACCAACAAAAGGACAAGATGAAACAATTTTCCAGTCCAAGACAACCTAGAAGATCGGCAGGAAAGGTTTGTCTCACTTGTAAAAGGGGAGTACAGTCCAGTGCAATCAGTGTTCAGGTAAGCCAGCTACAGGCTGTCCCCCAGCAAGTCAGCAGCAAGGCTCTGAGCCCTGGTGCAGTTCAGGGCAGCAGGCCAACATCAAGGCCCCATGCCCCTGGCACAGTAGGCCAGTGGCAAGGTCCAGCACCCCTGGGGCAGTAGGCCAGGGGGGAAGCCCTGTGCAAGAAGCTTGGGAGAGCACCCCCTTCACCCCAGGAGCAAAGCATAACTTTAACATAAAATTAAGACACAAAAGAGGCTGGGAAAATGAGCAAAAAATGAAATAAAACAAAAAAAACCTGATCATGGAAAGTTACTATGGTGACAGAGAAGATCAAAACACAAACTCAGAAGAGGACAACATGTCAAAACACCTATATGCAAAGGCACAAAGAACAATGTGAATTGGTCTCAGGCCCCAAATGAACTCCTAGAAGAGCTCAAAAAGGACAGGGTAGGATAAAATAAGAGAGATAGAAGAAAAATTGGGAAAAGAAGTGAGAGTGATGCAAGAGAATCATGAAAAAGAGTCAATAGATTGGTAAAGGAAGCACAAAAAATGGAAAAAGAAGTACAAAAACTCACTGAAGAAAACAACTTCTTGGGGCAGCTAGGTGGTGCAGTGCATAGAGTACCGGCCCTGGATTCAGGAGGATCTGAGTTCAAATCCAACCTCAGACACATAACACTCACTAGCTGTGTGACCCTGGGCAAGTCACTTAATCCCACTGCCTAAACCAAAAACAAACAAACAAAAAACAAAAAAAAAGGAAAGGAAAACAACTTCTTAAAAAGGTAGACTTGGCAAAATGGAAAAGGAGGTCCAAAAGCTCACTGAAGAAAATAATTCCTTAAAAATTAAACCAGGCAAGTGGAAGCTAACGACTCCACGACACAAGAAAAAAACAAAAGAATGAAAAAATAGAAGAAAACATGAAATCTCTCAATTGAAAAACAACAGATCTGGAAAATAAATCCAGGAGAGAGATAATTTAAGAATTATTAGACTACCTGAAAGCTATAACCAAAAAAAAAAAAACCAGACATCATATTTCAAGAAATTATCAAGGAAAACTTTCCTGATATGTTAGATTGAGAGGGTAAAACTGATTATCTCCTGAAAAAGATCCCAAAATGAAAACTCCCAGGAATATTATAGCCAAAATCCAGAGCTCCCATATTAAGGAGAAAATACTGCAAGTAGCCAGAAAGAAACAATTCAAACATCATAGAGCAACAATCAGGATTACATAGAATTTAGCAGCTTCTACATTAAAGGATTGGAGGGCTTGGAATATGATATGGATATGATATAAAAAGGGGAATATGGAAGAAAGATGTTATGAAGGTAGAATCGACAGAATTTGGCAAATGATTAAATATGGTGGGTGAAAGTAAAGATTTGAAGATGACACCAAAGTTGGATGAATGGGATGATAGTGGTGCTTTAAACAGTAATAGGGAAATTACTAGGGGGTGTGGTTTGAGAAAGAAAATAACGAGTTCAGTTTCGGAAATGTTGAGTTTAAGATGTCTACAGGACATTAGT